AAAGCTGACTTTTTATTCGACCAATGGCGAGAGCAGCTTTGCCGGTTAGGGCTTGTCCCCAGAGGCCGCTACGGTAGCCGGACTGTTCGGGCTCTTGACTTATAGAAACACACACTATATATATATATATAAACATACACTTTTTTTATATCATTCTCCATTTTTTTTTTAAAGTCAGATGAAACGCTGCGTAACACTGTGTAATATTCAACTAATCGACAAAACAGTGAAAGATGTAGTGATATGGTATGCCTAGCTAATCTGTCTACGTACCGCGTTTGCAAAGTAACGGCACTTTGCGTTGGTTAATAACCATGTATTAGTGGACGATAGACCAGGTGGTTCCATTTGTCGAATGAGAGTATACGTACCTGCATTTGATTTTGTATGTATTGGAAGATTTGCTAACGGGAAAAAATCTCCTTAAAACCTGTCAAGCTGAACTTACCGCGAAGGTGACTTGAAATAGGGTTTGTAGAGCTGTCAAATGCTGATTTCACCATTTGACGAGCGGTGTCGATAGATTGGTGGATTTGATGGATTGAAATACACATCTGGCATAAAGTATGCTTTCAGTGACAAAAATTATAAAAACGCTCAGTCTGTTGTGAAATGAAGACATACAGGCACCACGTAACAAATGTTAGCGTTCGCGAGCAAAAGAACAGTTTAATTCAAATGATTAGATTATCTATGTCATCGTGCTTACCAAATGCGTATGGACACTGAGGTAGACACGAAAAAGACTTTCGTTACATTTTACTTGGTAAAATAGATATGATTAACGTAGGTTTGTACATTAAAGGGGAATACATAACTCGGGATTCGAAAATGTTGGAGAAATAATCAACACAGGCAGCAAACGACCTTCGATAATTATTTGTTTCTACGTTTTCTCATCCTTTAGCAACAGCTAAAAATAATTCAAACAATATAGCAATCGATCCTGTGACCTTTATGAAGAGTAAAGTGTATGCGACCCGTTATTCCTGATGGGAATCTGCGTCATTGGAACCGCTGAGTTATAGCTATAGCTTGGCTCCACTCTCACATTACCGGGAATAATGCGCGATACTGTGATCAGGTCTAATCCTACTTTATAATGAGGATGTAACCTTTATTCTCGGTGATGACGTAGACTCGGGGTCAGGCTACATAGCCACACGAATCCATGTTACATCATTCTAGCAGGTTATCAACTATACACGGCTTTCACACAAATCTAGACTGAGGTTATTCTAGGACATGTGAAGGTTACCAACGCAACAAATTTTAATCGGTAATCAACTATATACACGTCTTTCACACGAATCCATACTCGGGTAAATCTATTTCTAAACATTGTCTTCGCGTTGGTAAGTATGTGCAATATTGTTATATATGTACCGAAATGACTCGATTCAGCTACGCTTTGTTTAATACTTGGTCATAGATGTGCGAGAGTCTATGAGCCCTCGCAATTTCGATTTAAAACTGGCCCACTGCGGCGTAACCAGATGGCTTCCTTTGTCAGCCGCTTGAACAGATTGCTCTCTCTGTCCAAAACTTTGGAGCTAGCTATCCCAGTCAATCCCATGATTTTTCTGTGTGAAATGGTCTGTAATTGCCGATTTATTTATCTGGGACTCCGACTGCTTCCTTTCTGATCGGGTGAATTTCTTTCCTTCTTGGGTTTCCGTATCTTTCCGGTGACCCAAAATCGCCTTCCAGTCCCTCCGATCTACGATGCGTCGCAGTTTTTGCATCCGATTTTGTATACACGTTCCTTAATGTGTTCTATCCTTAGGGTGAACTAGGATATGGCTGCTGCTATGCCATGACCGATCTAATAAGAAGAGCTATAACGAATAGAGAGAAAACGTTACTCGCTAAGGGTATGAGCTATGCCATTGTTCTAGATAACATCCCAGTTGATGATATAGCCACATAACAGGTATGTAAGAAACTAAGCTATGCTGAGGCTGATCAACTGAGCTACCAGGTGATGGGGGGAGGGGGTTGAAATCCACGAAATTACCAACAAGAAATATGACAAAAGAAGAACGGGTCGCACTCCAAACATTAGGCAGAGACAAATCCATTACGAAATTACCAGCTGACAATAGTTCATAGCCTTAGCGAGTAACGTTTTCGCGCTATTGGTGAGCTCCTTATTAGAGATATCGAAAATGAATCTAGTTCTGCATGCGTTCGTTAGCCTTTTGCCAGGCGTAGTCTTCCACAGAATCCTCAAAGTATCAAGTAGTGTCTCGCGATACGTTGGACCCTTCACGAGAAGCTCTCGGAGCTGTGTATTATGGATAACATTTAGATCGCCAGGTCCTACATGTCAAGCTGGACTATAATTATAAGGGAACGTGGAGTAAGAAAATGCTGAAGGTGTCATTATAATAGCATCTAGTCATGTGAACGAGAAACAATGACGTAGAAACAATGAGCCATATCGGGGAGCTAGACGTACTACGTTTATGGGACTAGATACAAAGGGGTGGCAACACCATGTTTCTCATGATTTAACACGCTTCTTCAGGTGACAAAACAGCAACAGGGACGGGTTAGACACTTACATTTGTCAGATAAAGCAACAGGGACGGGTTAGACGACTTATATTTGTCAGATAAAGGAACAGGGACGGGTTAGACGACTTACATTTGTCAGATACAGCAACAGGGACGGGTTAGACGACTTACATTTGTCTGATAAAGCAACAGGAACGGGTTAGACGAATTACATTCGTCAGATAAAGCAACAGGGACGGGGTAGACGACTTACATTTGTCAGATAAAGCAACAGGAACCGGTTAGACGACTTACATTTGTCAGATAAAGCAACAGGGGCGGGTTAGACGACTTATATTTGTCAGATAAAGCAACAGGGACGGGTTAGAAGACTTACATTTGTCAGATAAAGCAACAGGGACGGGTTAGACGACTTACATTTGTCAGATAAAGCAACAGGAACGGGTTAGACGAATTACATTCGTCAGATAAAGCAACAGGGACGGGTTAGACGACTAACATTTGTCAGATAAAGCAACAGGGACGGGTTAGACGACTTACATTTGTCAGATAAAGCAAGACGCACTGAAAACGTCAGGCATAACCCAGGAAGTCGTGGAAAAAACAACAAAGTATAAGTTTGGGATGATCATCACATTTATTTTGATAAACAATATCAAACAAATAATTGTTTTCTGTACATAACATGTACTAACACTGTAATATTATTGTTATATAGAGATGGTGTGTAAACACGCTTTAGATAAGAACTTCATGTACAATGTTCATATATAATGCCGCGGTCAAACACTAAAGACGCTTCATATAGGCCCCATACATAATGTGACGGATGTACAACGTAGCCCCTCATATACATTGTAAATATCAATACATTGTATCAAGACGTATATACATACATGTATCAATACAACGGACGTGCAATGTAGACGCCTCTCAAAAGTTTATATATTTATATAACGAAGGATATAAAATCTTAAACAAATTCGATGTTGTTTGAAGGCAACCATTGAGCCCTTTTCCCTTCCAATGAAGTAGTCAGGTTATTTGTAAGGCTGTCCTCGTTGCTATTACAAGAGTTGAGGGTTAATGATTTAAAGCTGAATTTGAGTGTTAAATATAATATATCGATAAATATAGCTTCAGGATTATTGCAAAAAAGAAATCATCAATTTAAAACACATCATATATCTTGTACAACTCAAATTTAAAGGTATTTTCGCTGATCGTATCTCATAATACTAATTCTTATTAGATATAAAAGTAATTAATATAGAAATATGTACCAGCCATTACAGTGCCTGTTTTTAAAACACTGGCGTATTTTGTCCATAAATATCTCGAAATGTCCCTTTTAAAAATTTGATGTACACATGAAATGAATGAAGAACGATAGATTGTCTAATGGAGGGGTGAGTGAACCAGAGGCAGGATGATGACCTCAATATAGACGTTATACAATAGTGCTGATGTTAACACTACACTAACTAAACACCATAACCAACTAATATACCCACATCATCATATACTGACTGACAACTATGATGAAAACTGCAAAACTTTGAATCTTTATCTGCAAGGTTGTGTTTACAAATCGAAACTATCCAACATTTATCTGACACCTTTATATTCCCATAATGTATACCCTAACATCTGGGCACATGTACAGTAACCTAACGTGTGTACTGTAACCTAACATCTGGGCACATGTACAGTAACCTAACATGTGTACAGTTACCAAATGGGTGTACAGTGACCAAATGTGTGTACAGTAACCTAACCTTTGTACAGTAACCAAATGTGTGTACATTACCCGAACCTGTGTACAGAAACCAAATGTGTGTACAGTAACCAAATCTGTGTACAGTAACCAAATGTGTGTACATTAACCAAATGTGTGTACAGTAACCAAATGCGGGTACAGTAACCTAACATGTGTACAGTTACCAAACGGGTGTACAGTGACCAAATGTGTGTACAGTAACCTAACCTTTGTACAGTAACCAAATGTGTGTACATTACCCGAACCTGTGTACAGAAACCAAATGTGTGTACAGTAACCAAATGTGGGTACATTAACCAAATGTGTGTACAGTAACCAAATGCGGGTACAGTAACCTAACATGTGTACAGTTACAAAATGTGTGTACAGTAACCTAATGTGTGTACAGTAAGCTATCGTGTGTACAGTACCCTAACATGTGTACAGTAACCTAACATCTGGGCATATGTACAGTAACCTAACGTGTGTACAGTTACCAAATGTGTGTACAGTGACCAAATGTGTGTACAGTAACCTAACCTTTGTACAGTAACCAAATGTGTGTACATTAACCAAATGTGTGTACAGTAACCAAAGGTGTGTACAGTTACCTAACGTGTGTACAGTAACCTAACGCGTGTACAGTAACCTAACGTGTGTACAGTTACCAAATGTGTGTACACTAACCAAACTTGTGTACAGTAACCAAATGTTTGTACAGTAACCAAATGTGTGTACATTAACCAAATGTGTGTACAGTAACCAAAGGTGTGTACAGTTACCTAACGTGTGTACAGTAACCTAACAGCTGGGCACATGTACAGTAACCTAACGTGGGTACAGTAACCTAACATCTGGGCACATATACAGTAACCTAACGTGTGTACATTAACCTAACATGTGTACATTAACCTAACCTGTGTACAGTAACCAAATCTGTGTACAGTAACCAAATGTGTGTACAGAAACCTAACCTGTGTACAGTAACCAAATTTGTGTACAGTAACCAAATGTGTGTACATTAACCTAACCTGTGTACAGTAACATAACGTGTGTACAGTAACTTAACGTGGGTACAGTAACCAAAAGTGTGTACAGTTACCTTAACATGTGTACAGTAACCAAATGTGTGTACATTAACCAAATGTGTGTACAGTAACCAAAGGTGTGTACAGTAACCAAATGTGTGTACTGTAACCTAACCTGTGTACAGTAACCAAGTGTGTGTACAGTAACCAAATGTGTGTAGAGTAACCTAACCTGTGTACAGTAACCAAGTGTGTGTACAGTAACCAAATGTGTGTATAGTAACCTAACATGTGTACAGTAACCAAATGTGTGTACATTACCCGAACCTGTGTACAGAAACCAAATGTGTGTACAGTAACCTAACATGTGTACAGTAACTTAACGTGTGTACAGTAACTTAACATGTGTACAGCAACTTAACCTGTGTAGAGTAACCAAATGTATGTACAGTAACCAAATGTGTGTACAGTTACCAAATGTGTGTACACTAACCAAACTTGTGTACAGTAACCAAATGTTTGTACAGTAACCTAACCTGTGTACAGTACCCAAATGTGTGTACAGTAACCTAACCTGTGTACACTAACCAAATGTGTGTACAGTAACCAAAGGTGTGTACAGTAACCAAATGTGTGTACTGTAACCTAACCTGTGTACAGTAACCAAGTGTGTGTACAGTAACCAAATGTGTGTACTGTAACCTAACCTGTGTACAGTAACCAAGTGTGTGTACAGTAACCAAATGTGTGTACTGTAACCTAACCTGTGTACAGTAACCAAGTGTGTGTACAGTAACCAAATGTGTGTAGAGTAACCTAACCTGTGTACAGTAACCAAGTGTGTGTACAGTAACCAAATGTGTGTACAGAAACCTAACCTGTGTACAGTAACCAAATGCGTGTACAGTAACCTAACCTGTGTACAGTAGCCAAATGTGTGTACAGGAACCAAATGTGTGTACAGTAACCTAACCTGTATACAGTAACCAAATGTGTGTACAGTAACTTAACGTGTGTACAGTTACCAAAATGTGTGTACAGTAACCAAATGTGTCTACAGTAACCTAACCTGTGTACAGTAAACAAATGTGTGTACAGTAACCAAATGTGTGAACAGTAACATAACCTGTGTACAGTAACCAAATGTGTTTCCAGTAACCAAATGTGTGTACAGTAACCTGACCTGTGTACAGTAACCAAATGTGTGTGCAGTAACCAAATGTGTGTACAGTAACCGAACCTGTGTACAGTAACATAACGTGTGTACAGTAACTTAACGTGGGTACAGTAACCAAAAGTGTGTACAGTTACCAAATGCATGAACAGAAACCTAACGTGTGTACAGTAACCTAACATCTGGGCGCATGTACAGTAACCTAACGTGTGTACAGCAACCTAACATGTGTACAGTAACCTAACCTGTGTACAATAACCAAATGTGTGTTCAGTAACCAAATGTGTGTACAGTAACCAAATGCGGGTACAGTAACCTAACATGTGTACAGTTACAAAATGTGTGTACAGTAACCTAATGTGTGTACAGTAAGCTATCGTGTGTACAGTACCCTAACATGTGTACAGTAACCTAACATGTGTACAGTAACATAACCTGTGTAGAGTAACCAAATGTGTGTACAGTAACCAAAGGTGTGTACAGTTACCTAACGTGTGTACAGTAACCTAACGTCTGGGCACATGTACAGTAACCTAACGTGGGTACAGTAACCTAACATCTGGGCACATGTACAGTAACCTAATGTGTGTACAGTAACCAAATGTGTGAACAGTAACATAACCTGTGTACAGTAACCTAACATGTGTACAGTTACCAAATGTGTGTACAGTAACCTAATGTGTGTACAGTAACCTAACGTGTGTACAGTAACCAAAAGTGTGTACAGTAAACAAAAGTGTGTACAGTAACCTTATGTGTGTACAGTTACCGAACCTGTGTACAGTAACCAAAAGTGCGTACAGTAACCAAAAGTGTGTACAGTTACCAAAATGTGCATACAGTTACCAAACGTGTTTACAGTTACCGAACCTGTGAACAGTAACCAAATGTGTGTAGTTAATAAACATGTGAACAGTAACCAAAAGTGTGTACAGTTACCAAATGCATGAACAGAAACCTAACGTGTGTACAGTAACCAAAAGTGTGAACAGTAACCTTATGTGTGTACAGTTACCAAAATGTGTGTACAGTAACCAAATGTGGGTACAGTAACCTAACATGTGTACAGTAACCAAAAGTGTGAACAGTAACCTTATGAGTGTACAGTTACCAAAATGTGCGTACAGTTACCAAACGTGTTTACAGTTACCGAACCTGTGAACAGTAACCAAATGTGTGTACAGTTACCAAATGCATGAACAGTAACCTAACGTGTGTACAGTAACCAAAAGTGTGAACAGTAACCTTATGTGTGTACAGTTACCAAAATGTGCGTACAGTTACCAAACGTGTTTACAGTTACCGAACCTGTGAACAGTAACCAAATGTGTGTAGTTACCAAACCTGTGAACAGTAACCAAAAGTGTGTACAGTTACCAAATGCATGAACAGTAACCAAACATGTGAACAGTAACCAAATGTATGTACAGTAACCAAAAGTATTTAAAGGTAAAAAGGTAACTAATCCATGTTATAGGTAATCAAACATATTGACAGGTAACCAAATGAATGTACCGGAAACAAAATAAGTGAACAGGTAACCTAGCATTTGTAATTGGTAACCAGACATATGTACAAGTAACCAAACGTGGTTCAAGTACCAAAGTTTCTGTACAGGTTACCAAAAATCTTGACAGGTAACAGAAAATGAGCTAGTAACCACATACATTCACAGGTAACAAAACTTGTACAAGTAATTTACTGTGTTAAAGGTAATTAAACATGCATGCAGGTAACCAAACGTGTGTACAGGTATTCAGGTTAACAAATGTGATCTAGTAACCAAAGGTGTTCAGGTAACCAACATATATTTACAGGTTACAAAATGTGTGTATAGGTAACTATCCAATGCACATGTGCTAAGGTAACCAGATGTTATTCAGTAAAAAATGTGTGTACAGCTTATTCCAAACATATGCACAGGTAACCATACAAAAAGGTGGGAGTTATTTGTTGGTCATTTTCAATCGTTCACATCATCATGTCTTGCTGTCAGCTTTCCTAGCTTTAGCTTTCTAAGCACAGGAGCCTCTTCCTGGCTCTGTAATAAGCACGGGAGCCTCTTCCTGATTCTGTAATAAGCCCTAAGTGCAGGGGCCTCTTCCTGACTCTGTAATAAGCCCTAAGAACAGGGGCCTATTCCTGACTCTGTAATAAGCCCTAAGAGCAGGGGCCTATTCCGGACTCTGTAATAAGCCCTAAGCACAGGGGCCTCTTCCTGACTCTGTAGTTAGCCCAGGGGCCTCCTGTTTTCTCCTTTATGTAAGCCTAAGAACCTACTTCTTAGTTGTTTAAAGTGGATACTGGACCTAACACTCAACAGGACTTCTTAATAGGAACAATGAAGTGGGCATATTACTATAAAAACAATATACATTGTCTTCTGATGTTTGTTGATAAGGTAGGAATGGTGAAATGATCATACTTGTCACAAATATCTATGTGAACATATCTGAAAACCACTTTTAAACTTATTATAATATTGTATTATACAATAATTTTCCTGAGTTTGCTAACATAATGATATTTACATATTTACATTATAGGCTTTCTGGAAAACCAATTGAACATATTCTTAAGAATTTCAAGATACACATAACAAGTTGTTTACATATCCTGTTAACAAAGATGTAACAATACCAATACACATAATAAATGCACTCAATCAAAACAGTAATGTTCTGACCCAAAGATCAGGACCAACAATTTTATATATTGAACACCAGGGTTCAGGAAAGATCACATTGCCAAGCAATTTATCGCTAGCAGTTTAAACAGGATTAGGCTAATCCAAGACCAGATCATTGTGTCTTGCTCTGATAGATATATATATATTGGAGTGTCCCAGTATATATACACAAACAGTATCCCTACTTAGTATCCGAGTATATATACACAAACAGTATATCTACTTAGTGTCCCAGTAGATACACACAAAGTATCTCTACTGAGGGTCCCAGTAGATACACACAAACTCTATCTACTGAGGGTCCCAGTAGATACACACAAACTCTATCTACAGAGGGTCCCAGTAGATACACACAATCAGTATATCTACTGAGGGTCCCAGTAGATACACACAAACTCTATCTACTGAGGGTCCCAGTAGATACACACAATCAGTATCTCTACTGAGGGTTCCAGTAGATGTACACAAACCATATCTCTATTTGACCTCTCAGTGCACATTTCCTATCATCTAAAAACATAGCTGCATCTGATGAAAATTTATATTATATAATTATGAAACAAAATATTCCTGGTCAGAGGACAATTAAGGAAATGATACAATCAGTGTCAATAAGCGTTTTTTTATGAATTATGTATAATGTGTATATAATAGATCAGGCTGTTTGAAAATGATCGCTGAAAAACTGTAATTTGCTTGTATTGGTCTTAAACATGTCATGTGACCATCAAAATAGACTTAATTAACAAATATTTAATTTAGATTCTGAGGTAGGTAAGTATTAAGGTGGGTTGATCTGACAGATTTTAGTGCATTGTTCATTTCATACTAGCATCAATGGAGACCAGTGTGTTTGGACAAGCCTGTCTACTGAAGAGCATGCTAACGACTGGAGGGCACCAGCTGCCTTACTCATACCTCAGAATGTAGACAAAATACAAATCAAAATATAATAAAAAAGCATCACTTTGTACAGGGTTATAAATTGTATAATCAGTGAAAAAGGAATGAAGAAGTGAAGATGAAAATAATATAAGAAAAAAAAATAAACAGGAAAGAAAATTTGATAGTTGCCCTATGTGTATAGTCGTCTGCAAGCAATAGCCAACACTAACTTATGCTCAATTTACATCCTAAAAGGTATTAGGACAGGAAGTCCCGATATAATACACTTGTATGATCATTTACAATGAAATCTTAGTACATCAACACAGGTGAGGGATAAATTTGTATGTCCATCATGTCATGTACAGAGGATGGCAACAAACAGTGCTATAGTTTGATTGGCTAAAAACTTGGTGTCTTATTAGATCTAAATAAAACAAAATGTAACTGAAAGAACAATAAGTATGGATTTTACTGAAGCCATTTCATGAAGAAATCTTTTCATTAAATATTGCATTTCACTAATTGATAATTATTCAAACTAGAGTTGGTAAATTTGAATATGTTTGTTTCTAAATTTCTGTAATGTATGCTGATCAAAACTAACATTCAGGGGAACTCTTACAAACTACAATTCAAAATACAGTATATTCAAAAGAATAATGTTTAAAATCACATTTTAATATTACCATCCAATCTTTAACTATTATTTTTACTTTATGAATTTAAAGAAAACAATAGTATATATATGTTTAACAGCATCCTGATACCAACTGAATTACACTGTACAAAGGATGACCAGGTACTCATCCTCACTTCTTACAAAAATACTTGATCATTTAACACTCTGCGTCATCTCGACTCTATAAACAGGTGACCCCCCCCCCCCCCCCCCCCCCCCCCCCCCCCCCCCCCNAAGGAGATCACAAGTCTCTCCTAACTTCTATATTTAATTCTCCCACCACTGAGTGGTGACAATAATGCTGCCATATTTCAACTCCTTATATTAACTTTTGTGTCATGGTAGCTAGGACTCCTGAATGGAGACCTTAATATTGTGCTGAATATCTTCTGAATGTTGACTTTCATGTCACAGTAACCAAGACTCATGAACAGTTACTTTTATATCGCTGTGGACTACTGAACAGTGACTTTCATGTTGCAATACCCACAACTTCGGACTCTCGTACCAAGGTAAATAATACAACAATTTGTAAATAGTGGCTTTTAAAAGCAGAAACTATTTTCAAAACCTTCCCTGTTTTTAACTTATTTATAGCCCTGCTGTTTTCCAATCCTATACTCAACCCCTCAAGGTCAGTGATTTCACACCCGAACCCTCTTTACAAACAACTTATTCCAGGTCTATACTCTCATATTTGGAAAGACTCCTCTTCAGATTTACGTTTTCTTTCTTTATTTTCTCAAGTTGTTTTTTCATTGTCTCATTTTCTGATTCCAAAAAGGATGCCCTCATTGCGATCTGGTTTTCTTTGATGCGCCGGGCATCTCTGGAGCGCTTAGCAGCAACATTGTTCTTCTTACGGCGATTCCAGTATTTGTCATCTTTGCTATCTTCAGGAACAAAAATCTACAAAATAATTGTCACAATATACAATAATGATAATTATGTGGTTGATTCAGCTGATTGTCATATCTTTATTAAAAGATCACAACACACCATTTAAAATATTGATAAAACCAGTGGCCCTATAGTCTATAAAGTCCAGCAGCCCTATAAACTCCATTACAGAATATACCAGGAAATAGAGATACAGAAAGAATGTTTACGAGTGGTATTCCATAGGTCATATGTAAACATGGGTCCTGAGGGCTTGTATCATTTACCCGGATCTTCAAGTTATCATGGCAAAATGTTTCGATTGAAAGTATTATATTCACTTTTCCCATAATACAGCATTCAATTCCATGGTCATCAGTGATTTTTGTAAAAGAAACATAATAGATGAATCCTGAACAGGTTTTTTTCCAAAACTTGTATGAGTTCCATTAGTAAGGTAAGGTATATAATGGGTTCTCAAAGAGTTCCGCCAAAATTTGATTGCCACACACATATGTGTGCTTCATAGCAAATTTGGTTGAAATAAAATCAACTGTTCAACAGGCTTCTCCGTTTGAACCCCCCCCCCCCCCTCCCCAATCCCAAGGTGACAGCAAGACCCTATGGCAATTATGGTGGCATGAATGTTTTTCTCTTCGCTTTCTCTTATATAATAGCACAGGAAACAATTTAAAATCAATTTTCTCACTTCTGCTTATTACATCAGACAATTGTTAAATAAGATTAGTGTTGACTGTCTTTAGTGAAACATGATGCCTACCTTGCGAGACTTTTTAATTATTGGCTGTGGTTTCAACTCTTCCACAGTGAACCTCCGTCTCTTTGGGTCGAAATTATGTCCTGTTTGTGATAAAAAGAAACTGTTATTTTCATATTCTAAATCAAATAAATAATTTATGAATAACATTAAGACTTCCTGTACAACTTGACCATCCTGAAATCTGGCTAAGTAATCTTTACCAAGTTTCTTTTGACACATGTACAGAGCTAAGAATGAACACAGATGGAGACCTAGCTTTTAAACCTTTTATCTGATCTGAACGGAGGAAACTGAAAAATATGCTTTCAAATATTTATTTTTTTGTAATTTAATACCTGGTGACTTAAATTTTACTGATGTATATATTTTCAAAGAGAAACTCAAAAATTGATTGATTTACACTGTAAACTCAGACATTTGTTTGTACATGTACACTAGTACTGTACCTGGTATGGTCGCTAGAGCTAGGTCTTGATCATCCACCTCGAAGGCCACAGGAACATGGCCTGGACTTAATGACCCGGTACTGCTACTGGGAGAGAGTACCGGGGAACTCATCACATCATCTGTAGGTGTAACATGATCTAAAACAAAAACCATGACAACTTGATTGACATCTCGACAGGAGATAAATGTGTAGGGTTGCTGGTTTTTGTTCTCAGATATCTGTCTGAGTCATATCCATTTTAATCATGGACTTTTGAATTGTAAGTGATCATTATTTCATCAAATAACTAAAATGAAAGAAGCAAGAAACAGTGAAAGCTTTAGAAGTTTTAGACCAATGAAGCAGAGAAATGTAACTGAAGAGATATCGAAGCACCTGTAGTTTAGAGGGCACCAATAAAACAGTGAGTGATTTATTTAGTCTTATTATAAACAACATGTTGGAAATAAAGAATTGTTTTTTGAGATTTAAGAAATGAACACATTATGTAAATAAGTTCAGAATAAACAGCCATGGGTCATTATGTATAGATACTTAAGTATACAGAAATTCCTCTGTATGAAGGCCATGTCAGGTGATCCTACCCAGTCATAATGGAGTACTCAATCTGTATATACTGATATAGGGTCTTTATTAAGTAATCCCTCATCGTAGCAAAATCATTAAATTAGCAACTCTTTGCAATTACTTAATTTGGATGACATTGCATATATCTGAGCTTAGAATATTATGTTAATTACCAATGGTAAGCAGGGACCGCACAGTTGGATTGGGCACTTCTTCGGGCGATTCAGGTTCTTTATTGAATAACTCCTTGATGGCATCGCCCGGAGGTGACTGGGGACCACTAATCATGGGGTTAGTCCTGGCTATAGGGGAGGACGGCGGACTGTTTATCAGGGCTGCAGGGGATTTCTGGGACTGGTCAGATTCTCCACCAATTGAGTTATCATTCAGGTCCGATGGAATGCCGTTTTCTGATAAAAATTCATCCAAGTCCATGTATTCCAACTGGAAATTCTCGTCCTGCAAGCTGCTGCTGCTCCATAAGTTAGGGCCAAGAAATGCTGAGGTTGGGTCGAATGAGCCATTGCCGCTTTTATCATTCTTGTGACTCTGATCTGTAAAGATAAATAATGACAATGAATTGAAAATTATATATCTATGAAATTTTCATCGTCCAATTTTGATATATTTAAGCTTAAGGTTGATTAGGAATTTGACAACGTTTAAAAGCATAAGGGTTTTGGACTGAGAATGGTACTAGTATGTTGGAAATACCAAAGACGCAGAATGAAAGAATTTTCAAATCAAACTTTATCAATGATTATATACTTGTCTAGATCAGACCTATCTTGATAGTGCATTAATGAATCAGTTTTACCTGTTTAAGTTGGAGCTGTTGGAGCTGTATGTGTGTGTGTGTGTGTCATCAATGTCCAATATTCTGGTGTTTTTGTTATGGAAGGGCAATCAGAAGGGTAAAGAAGGCAATACAAAAAATGTGCGAATTCATTTTTAATACTGTATGTGCAAATTCATTTAAACAAAATTATTTTACATTGGCATTGTGTTTGAGTGGTAGAGGTAACCCATTAATTACATTATTTATCATTTCATAGTGATTGTGTTGACTAGCTTTGTTACTGAGAGTAATAAGTACAAATTGTGATAGTGCAGTATTTGGGCAGTAGCTTCAGGTTATAATGTTAACTATTGTTGGAGACCTGTCGGTGTAACTCTGATCATCAACCCACTGTCCTCCAATCAGCTCTATTCACCTCCCTACCTGTAAATCTTACCAGGAGTGATGACATAACATGCCTTGGGCTTTGACACCAGGTGTACATGTGATCTGGGGACCATTTAATTTGTGATCTGGGGACGAATACCACTACTTATGCACTAATGTAACACAAAAAATATTTCTCTTTTTAAATTTGGTGATATTTATATTATTTTAAGATAAATTATTGCCTTTTGGCGTTGCAGAAGTCTAAATTAATTTGGACATCAATAGGCTAGAATAACTTATGGATAGATGTTATAAGTATTGTTCTCTCAAAACGCGATGACACTTGTTCTTTTGTATTTTATTGCATTTTGGAGTCTCATAAGTCATAATTTACTTTGACAACAATGTATATTGAAATAACTTAAAACTATATGATATAATAAGCCGACAAATATCTGGTGAAACTTATTCCAAGGTTTATATAATATTGCCTTTTCAAGTAACATAAGTCAAACTAGCTTTGACAGGAATGTGTTAAAAGGTATAATAAGCTAAAATAAGCTGACAAACATTGAGCTTTTTAAAATTGACAACTGTTTTTAATGTATATTTTAGTGTATCATAAGTTGATTAACTTTGGCTGGATATTGATGTAATTTTGTGTACATTTTATCTGTTTTATATGTAGATCAATATGCGACACTTGAATAAAATAATTTATTATTTATTATTATTATCATTTTCATAATGTATCTGTTGTAGCTCTTAGACAACTTTATATACCAAATTATTATCATGTCAACCCAACTTATATCAAAATGAAAGGAATATTAATGTACTCAATTATAATGTAACACGGTACTCTTAACTAAAGTTAGTAAATTTATACAAAGAGTAATGAAGCTTCTTAATATCTAAATTTATGAGTTAGCTAAAAGAATTATTGAAATGGGTTGACTTGTTATTGTATAAATTGTATCATGTGTCATGTTATGTGTGTACTATGTCCATCAATGTATATACTAAGTAATATGTGACCTCTTGTTATATGCACGTATACGTGTGGCGTGAGTGTAAAATAAAATTTGACAAAAATCAAGTCAGCCTAAATCTTCAGGTGACATGTCTAAATCTCCAGGTGACATGTCTAAATCTCCAGGTGACAGGTCTAAATCTCCAGGTGACAGGTCTAAATCTCCAAGTGACAACATTTTGAATTGTCCTGGTTGGTAGTTTGTTGCAGGAATTACAACATTTTTCATGAAAAGGATCTTAATTCCTAAAGATGAATTTACCTAGGTGTAAAACTTACTTGTTTGAAGATTAACTAAAGTACAGATATTATTAATATTTTTTATTCAATTTTGATTGAACGTTCATTGTTCTGTAACAGGAAAGAGAATAGTGTGCTTCCACCGGGGATCGAACCCTCGATCTCCAGGTTCCTAGTTAGACGCTCTACCACTGAGCTAAAGGGAAATTCCCTCTATCTTGAAGCTTGAAGTCGACCTTAATCCGATGTACAATTGAACCCTGCCACACTACTCCCCCCTTTTAAAATGTGTTCGCCCTCGATCACCACAACCCAGGTTCTAACTCCCTGTCACCACAGTGAGGGCCACGGACACCATTTGTAACAGGAAAGAGAAAAGTGTGCTTCCACCGGGGATCGAACCCTCGATCTCCAGGTTCCTAGTCGGACGCTCTACCACTGGGCTAAAGGGAAATTCCCTCTAGCATGAAGCTAGAAGGCGACCTTAATCCTGTGTACAATTGAACCTTGCCACAGTTCTATTATAAGGTATATCCGTGATATATTTAACAGAACATCAGCTATTCACACCAGGTTCTGATTATGGTATCCTTGTTACCGGTATTTAGATTGTCATATATATAATTATTAGTGATTTCACTTGCATGTGATAAAATATCATTTAAACATAGTTTAAACATACAGTATATTGATATTTAAACATACAGTGTATTTATATTTAAACATAGTGTATTTATATTTAAACATACATTGTATTTATATTTAAACATACAGTGTATTTATAAGCTTTCATCTACTTATTAACACACAAGCAAGCAAGCAAAAAAAGCAAACAGTTTCCCAATAGTCATAATTTTATTATTTCCTTTATTACTTCTGCTTCTATTATTCCTTACTTCTAACATCTAAGAAAATAATGAGCGCTCAACAAAATATCCTACACTGCATGTTACGAGCGCGGACAAATATTACCACTAGAAGCTTACAGTAGAAGGAGTACGACAGTTCCCTTATACTTAACATGTAAATCAGCACTCATTATATTGTACATAGTACGCGTGACATCGTGTTGGTTTAAGTACGCTCGGCCTTGTTTACTCTGACTGCCAAACACTGGCTCGGTGACCTGTGCTGAGAAGTCCTTACTTTTCAGTACACATGTACCGACCTTGGTGCCCATGTACTGGACAACGAATGACCTTCACCTGTTGACGTCGTACATCAGTGGGTGATAATGTAGGTCGTATGCATTCAAACATTTATTAACTATGATAAATAATTAAAAAATTAACAATTTTCTCAAATGCACCAAAATATTTCCAACTTAGGCGGTTCCCGGATGGAAAACACTCAGCTGATGCAATTCGCTGCCGAGGTAGCCACGGGCTTATGAAAACATCAACAAACCTACAAAAGCAAAAATTAACAAAATCGCATAGATAGAACGTGGTCTTACCTTTCAGGTTCGGTGCTGTTTGTAGTTTAGGATTCTCCAATAACTCCTTCAATGTAATCCCCTGCTGACCAATTCCAAAGAACGACATCTTGCTCGCTGAAAATAAACAACCAACACTGTCAGTATAAAATGCGAGTGATATAAATAGAACTAAAGGAAAAAACAACCAATCAAAGCAGAGGATACTACCGCTGAAGTGTTGGGTCACGTTGCAAGGCACGAGATCTTGATCGAATCCAAACATGGGTCAAGATTGACCGCTGTCCACTTTGATGTACTATATATACACACGTAAATTTAATCTATACACACACACATGCTCTAAAACGTGAGGTAGTACACTGCCAGTGTAAGGGTTTTGATAAGACTGGACTTTCAACAGGGGGGNTGCCCAAAATTTTAAACTCAGAATAAGACAGATATTTGCACTTATCTAAAACCACGGAATTAGAGAGACTACATTCTGCATCCAAAAATATATAGAACCTCTTTTTTTGCTGAGATTAAGAGCGGAGCGAGGCGAAGTATTTTTTCTGAAGAAGTAATAAATGTACCACGGACTTAGATCTAGCCTAATTCCGTGGTAATACTAAGCAATTTCAAGCATTGTCGAGCGTAGAAAGCAAGAATTTATCGAACAATTTTTTCTTGACAAACTGATCGAGGAGGCGTAGAATAGTTTTCTGAGTTCGCGGTATTATTCCAGGTTAAATTTGTTGAGTATTCATATTTTATGATGGCCGAGCAGAGCGAGTGTTAACAACTTATGTAAGAAAAGTTGTAAAAATGTATATTTTTGGCTACAATGTTGATGTTTGGGTAAGGCCCTTAATATGGTCACTTGTCAAAGTTGAGGAGGGGGCGGGGGGGG